CCTGAGCAAGAACCCTAATCCCCTATTGATCCCGGGTCCCCCACGGTGGCAGTCCACTGCACCCCAAGGGGATGGGTTCAATGCAGAGGGAAATTTCTCCAAAGTGAGATTTAATAACATTAGATTTTATTTTCCAAAAAAACAGCTACATTCCAATTTCTAAGATTTTGGAAATTAATTGCATGTCAAATATATCTAACTAGAATGATAAATTGGTGCACAGATAAACATTGTTCGGAATGGATAAACACTCAATGTTTAAGTGTTTTTGCTGTTAGTCTTTGCAATGACTTATTAAAAGCAGAAATCAAATCTATAAAAATATTGACAGAGCTGAAATAACATGTAGTGAAGCTTTTCTACAAAAAAGTCCAACAAGCAGAATCCACTTATGGAGTTTAAATGGTAAACATCCAGAACTAATCAGAGCATGTGAGCGGAGCGTGGAGGGAGCGGTGGAGCGTCGTTACGTTCACAGCTGGGAAACACTGCGATAATTAAACAGCCAGTTAAATTATTGCTAAATCATTACATCATTAAATCAAACAGCGTGTGTCTCAGGGCCCTGGCATCATTACATAAAGGAAAAATATATATCTGCTGAATATTTGAGCGAGCGTGGAGCAGAAACATTAAGGCGGGCGCATTCTAGCGTTACTTTGAGCGGTGGAGCGAATGAATAAACATCCTTCTAAGCGGGGTGTGCTCCGCTCCCTTCACATGCTCTGGTTCTTACATAGAACCTTTTTCACTCAGTGGACTCCACGTTCCACTGCATTCAGTCACTCAAACACTCTTGGGGGGCAAGCTGCATTGTAGCCACAGCTACTATGGGGCTCACTATCAGAAGTGAGGCTGTCTCTGCCCACATCATTAGGCGATGCATGTGAGGCGTTCTATCCAGGGACTTAATAGAGACAGACAGAGCTGGGTTTCAAACCAGCAACCCTCTGGTTGCAGGCAAGTCATGTGTCTTCGTTACCACATTTGTTAAAAAGGATACATAATTCCTTTTACTGCACTATGTGTGACACACGCAAATATAGGCGTCTTTATATGTTTTATAATGGAGAGTGTAAGGCATGTTTTTCCTCAGACTAATTGTGAGATGAAACATTTTAAGTGTGCCTTTATTCCGCCTAAATAGGAGCGACTGTAGAGAAGTCTTGTCCCAGTCTCTGTGCTGGAATGTTTAAGGTGACAGAAAGCAGTGGCCTCCTTACTCTAGACAAGGGTGAAGGGAGGGTCATGATAGATAAAGAATGAGTTCACACAGCCTCCCTCATGCCGTGATCAGAAGACAGCTGTTCTGAAATGTTTATTTGGCCATTGAAAGATATATTAACCTGACAGGGAATGTCCTTGATGAGCTGAAGTTGTTTTCCTCCAAATGTTTGTGTGTGAGGAAGTTTTCTGTATGTAGGGGTGGGTTGGTTCCCCTGGGAGGGTGTGTGTGTATTGGGTGTTGTTGTAAAAATATATGTACTAAGCTTGCACCAGACAAATCTGTGTTTTTGCAAAATTTGCCTCTGCCTCAACTTCCAAACTCCAAACAGCTTCAGTTGTTTGCTACATTGTGTAGCTATTGTGTTTTTTTAGCTCTTTTTCTGAAGGTAGTCCTAATCTGACTAGCATCATACATGTTATTTTGCATCATGTAATGATGTCCATTAGGCTGAGGGCTGCCTGGATTCAACACAGCAACCTGGAGCTCCTTTTCTACCCCAGATAGAGCTCTACTGTGGAGCCTTTGTTTTGTAAATCTCATAAAACTTTAAAGTCTTCATCTTCAACTCCCATGTCCAATCTCAAGCAAAGACACTAAAGTCCGAGTTGGGTCTAAAGTCAAGTCATGCAACTCTCAAATAAAGTTCCAAATTTAAATCCATTGAAGTCTTTTTTTAACAAAGTTGAATCATATGTTAAATGTAAGCAATTGAAGGCTTCCCAGTTTGTAGGTCTGTTACCTCACATCAGGAAGGTCCTGGGTTTGATTCCCTGCCTAGGTTCTTTCTGCATATATTTCAAAAGTCTCCCTGTGCATCAGCAGATTCTCTCCAGATACTCCAGCTTCCACCCACAATTCGAAAACAGGATTCTCAGATTAATTGGTGTCTGTAATTTGCCTTTAGTTGCAAGTGTGTATGCATGGTTGTATCTCTTTGTGTTGCCCTGTGATGAACAGGCGACCTGTCCAGGTTATTCCCCACATTTGGGAAATATAATACTGGAGACAGGAACCAGCCCGTGACCCTGAAACCATGACCCTCACAGGTGAACGGCAGGATGTAAATAATCCACCATCTTTGATTTTTGCTTTGCTCAACATGTAATGAAACCGTTTAACTGAATATTTTGAATATTACACAAATTTAACAAAAGTCAGCTGTCTCCTCACAGTAGGTGAAAAGTGCCTCCTTCTGTTCACTATGCAAATGTTAAACACATTTAAAAGTTGCTTCATCTCTTTGTACCCCAAAAATGTACTCTTTGAAGTGTAATTGTATTATTTTTATTTAATCTTGGCAATTTGATTGGATGTGCTGCAGCTCACACACATAGCAAATCAGAACTGAAATTTATGCGTTGATTGGTTCAAGTCAAATTCAGGTCTCAAATCATTAGTGTAAAAGTCAGAGTCAAGTCACAAGTCTCTAAGCAGTTTTTTAAGTCACATCTAAAGTCATTGCACTAAACCTCTGCTGTGAATTCTACTTTATACTCCTCATTTCTCATTAGACACTGCAAAAGACAATTCCAAAAAAGTTGGAGAAAAAAAAGCAATCCACTGGAAGTTGTTTCCAAGTTTGAAGACGTTTCTTCTTCCACTCAGGAAGCTTTTTCAATTCAAAATGTCAGAAATAGCATTGAGTTCGAGGCTTTATAGAGTTTTTGGCTTAGAAAACATGCAAATTGAACCGGACAAACAGGTCTGTCCCTTTGGAATCAGGGATGTTTGGGCTCTTTGTTAGTCAGCAATACCCAATACCTGTCTCTGTCTCTGGTTGTTTTTGCCAAAGAAAATACATTCGGGTGAAACCTCGCTGCTGCTCTGTTTTTTTTTTCATGTTACCTGTACTCCTTTCAGGCCTCGCCTGCCAGTATTTGGTTTCATTTTGGTTTCTTATTTAATCAACTCCTTTTCTGCTTCTACCTGCCCGTCTGAATGTTAGATCCGTTTTAGATTATATAAAGAAGGGCCTGATTGATAATGGCTTCTCCAAGTGTTGTAAAGAATCATCAAAGTTTGCTGTTGTTTATTAACCTTTAAGATGTATCTGCTAAGTCCCTCACACGTAGCCAGCCAGGTATATAAAGGTACTGCAGTACATTACTGGTTGAGTAATGTGGTTGCTCTGGTTTCTAAAGGCAGGAAATGGGCTGGATGTAGAAGCTCTGGTTCTACCGGTTCTTCTATATGACAGGAATGATCTGTATCCAGAACACATAAGGCTTCACCTGCCTGGTTCTTCTCAGTCAAACACACAATCCACGAGGGCCTTACCAAGCAGCATCAATGCAGGATGTGATGCATGTATCTCCAACCCATGTGAACAATCTGCAAATCTGTTGTTAAATAGTGTAGGGAAAAAATACTCTTATTTGTATGTTAAATACCAAAGGTGAGCACCCCTGACTGAAGTAATTACTTAAAAGGAAAAAGAAAACTTCTTAAAGTATGAAATTATTACATACTTTTCAAAAAATGATGTGTTTTTTGATTAAGAGTAATTTCCATTTGAATGTTCTTTGCCGGAGACATCCATGTTTGTCAAAGAACACTACTGCCACCTACTGGTTTGTGACGTCACGATGCGGTATCGGCTGTTGAGCAAGTCCCAGTGCTGTATGTGGTGCTTGTCACAACGCACTATTATCAATGATGGCGACGACCAGCGCACTATGTGAAGCAGAGAGTAATGGATAAATTATGTTTTTTCTCTGGCCAGAAGTTCAATGGAAAATCCTCCCTCTTCAAGTTGGCAATCCAATGATGCACCCATAGAGAATCATTAATCGGAAAGGTGAAATAACTAACTTTTTTTCACCTTTACCCAATGTATTCCAACATCCATCTGCCATGTGTCATAGTGGGCTTTAAAGATCTGAGCCACATGCAGAGAACCACTCAGAGACCAAGGGTAAAAGTTAACTGGTTTATTGAGGGTTAGCAAAACACAGATGGAGAGCGATATTCTGCTGGGTAATACTGTTGGATCTCAGCGGACTGCTGAACCTGAACCGGAAACTGTTTGGGGGGGGGGGGGGGGCTCTTGGTTATTCCTTGGATCCAGTTTGTGGGGTTAAATCCAGAGAAGAATGAACTCGTTGGAGAGCGGAGAGGCAGACCCAGAGGAGTAAAGGAGCGGACAGTCATTTGGTTTTCCAAAAGTGGACTTGAACGGATCATGTCGAGGTTTCCCCTTAATCAGTGTGACTCAGTTAATCCTTCCAGGGGGGTAGAAGGTCCAGGCTTATCCAATGATTCTTCCTGCCGAAGAACAAAGACTAAGCACGTTTAGACTCAGAGAGACAAGGCTAAGGTTAGACTCTGCTGATTGCAGATGTGTCTAGTAGTTCCCATTGATTTTGCTTGTAAAGCGGGGAGAATGGCGCTAGGCTTACCGCACCGTGACGTCACTGCTGGAAGATGACAGGAAGGAGGTGTTACTGTATTTGGGCAAAAGTGATCACAACGAAAAACATTCTTTTTATTTTTTTACTGATTAATGCTAAATTCATGAAATCACAGCGTACATATTAGTTTTCGGTATAAATAATGATACATTGGTTATTCCTTGCTTGAGTTAGATTCAGCAACAGGGGGAGGGAGGGCAGGTGGGTTACATCACACATTAGTGGTTGATGACATGTTTCCACGTGATGCTTCAGGTGAGACTGAAATGAACTCAGGACATAAATCAAAAAGTGAGGGAAAGAAACCTCTTCAGACGAGCTGTGAACAGATGGGAAGGACGAAGCATCTCTCAGCGGCTTGGCTGAAGGAAGAAATGCTGTAACAGCTGAAGGGTTTCAGGAATATGAACAGTTCCTGTTTCTGTGACACTATATTTCTGCTCTCAATGTGAAATGTCTGCCGCCTCTCGGTCAAACAGCTCTGCTGCTCTGCAGGATGGTGATATTGTGGAAAGAATGACCATCTTCAGTCTGTGCACAGCATCAGCCGCCGTCTTCCTCTTCATTAATGGAACCCTCATGTTCACTCTGAGGAGCAGATCAGTTTTCAGAGACACCTGTCGTTATATTCTGTTGTATAACCTTCTGCTGGCAGATACTGCACAGTTAGCAGTATGTCAGCTTCTGTTCCTACTGTCTGTTTGCAGAATTACTCTAACGTATCCAGTTTGTGGCACGCTGACTGTTTTTGCCAATCTGACTAATGTGAGCTCTCCTCTCACGCTGGTGGTGATGTCTGTGGAGCGCTGCATCGCCGTGTGCATGCCTCTGAGACACGCTGCAATCGTCACCATCAGAAACACAGGACTGGCACTTCTTCTAGTTTGGACCATCAGTTCTTTGCATAACATGTGTCGTGTTTTTTTGCTCTTAGACTTTCCTTTTGTAGACCTGGAGAGTCTACAGATGAGAGATTTGTGCTCCGATCTCACAATGCTGCTGGGATCCAAGTCTAAAGCCTATGATAATGTTTTTAATGGTTTCCTGTTTGTTTCAGCGGCTCTAGTGATCATTTCTTCCTATATTGGAGTGATAATAGCAGCCAGGTCAGCATCCACAGGGAAGACTTCAGCCCTGAAGGCTCGCAACACACTGATGCTGCATTTGGTGCAGTTATGCCTTAGTCTGTCCTCCACTATTTACAACCCTATGCTCATAGCGCTTTTGAGGATTCTTCAATATGCAGTGTTTATACGATTACATAAATTTCTTTATGTATTGATCATTTTGTTCCCTAGATGCTTGAGTTCTCTAATTTATGGCCTCAGAGATCAGACAATCAGGCCTGTTCTTCTGGGCTATCTATGCTGCCGACTAAATCCTAAAATTGCTGCAGTCAGTGGCTAAAGAGTTTGCTTTTGTTTAGGATTTAATCTGTCGGCTAGAAATTAAGACAGTTTCGAGATTTATGTCTGTAATATAGTTGATTCTAAAATGTGTTTTTTTGCATTAACAAAAGGTTTTTCTTTGTAATGATTTGCTGTTGTGACAACCTGGAAAACAGGCAGCAGACAGGATGCAGAACTAGATAAATAATAAAATGTCAATATGCTTAAAGGGTGGAAAAGTAAGCAGTGAGGATTCTGTGTCAGCGGAGTCTGAGTGAAGCTGGGAGGAAACCAGGAGAAGAGCAGGTAGAAATTATCAGGAAATCTGTTCAACAAATGTCATCTGATCCAAACTTTATAATAATCTTTGCATTGCTTAAAGAAATAGTTATACAATAATGTTTGTATATTTTATATGTATTTTAGTAACTTTTTGAAAACGACACACTTTTAAGAGTAGGCTTACTATATCATACTTGAGAAAAAATATGATGAAATATCAGCATTGTCACTAGCATTGTGAGAAATTTAATTCAACAGCCTGTTTTAAACGGAGACAGACATCTACAGCTTACATTTACGTCAGACTGCTTTTTATTCTCATCCTCACTGATTAAAAGCTACTTTCCATCTACTGATCCTCTTCTTTAATTTAAGTGAAGTAAAAACACAGCAACCAATTTACTAAATCTTTTTACTGGAAGTAACTTACCCTACTCTAACTGATATACAAAATTTCTATTGATTTGTCATTTTATAACCACAAATGAACACAGTTTGCATGAATGGTTTTACTTCCACTTGAAATTGTTATTGTGCGTTATATATTTGTTCTCTCTTTATTTCATTCTTTGAACACCATGATGTAAATATAACTTTATAAGATGGGTAATTCATCTCATTTCACTTTAAACCAGATGTTATGATCATGTGTAGTAAGTAGGTCAGTTTTCTTAGTGCCTCATTTCAATTCCCTATACAGCTCCAATTCACAACATTAATCTCAAGGCACTTTACAGTTCACCAGATCATACTGTCAGATTGGTTCAAAGTTTTCTATCAAAGGAAAACCAGTTGATTGCATCGGCACACACTAAGCATGCTTGTAGTAACAGTGGAGAGGAAATCTCCCTTTTAACGTGAAGAAACCTCCAACAGAAACAGGCTCAATGTGAGTGGCTCTCTGCCGACTGGGGTTCAAGGAGACAGAAGCAGAGATAAAAAAGGCAACTGTAAACCAGCTCCACAGGCGTTCCTGTCCAGGAAACACACAGCCAGGCAGACAACCTCCAAGCCAGCTCCTATGTCAGAAGATGAAAGAGAGCACATGCAGTGAAACACAGTCGGAGAAACAGGACTACACTGAAAAACAGGCCAAGCTTCAACATCTCGTTATGATTATTTTTATTGATGATGTGTGAGTCTGTTAAACCCTAATATTACGTCTAAACGAATGTCTTCCCAAGCAGTTTATCTCATTAGGACAGTTCTTCTGTCAGTATATGCAGTCATCATGTTCATTATGTACATGACAGAGATTTGAAAATGAAATAGGGGCACATATAGAGTAGATGACGTTTATCTCTTACAGGGCATTCGGAATTGCCTTGATCTAAGAACATGTTATTATTTTGATATGGTTGGAGCCATGGATGTCACTACATTTAGAAACATGTATGATGCAATGATGTGGTTGATGTGGCATACTGGAGTGCTTCTTGGAGTGGTAAGTGCTGCCTATTGTAACCCTAAGTTATTTCTATGGTCTGAGTAAGATTACAAATTCTGTCAAAATCTGTTGTCATGTCTCATCGTTATTTAAGACATATACATTATGAAGTGTTATTTAAAGAGTTTGTCCCGAGAAGCACTGAGCCGTGGCTATCGCCACCGGGTCAGGTTTGGTTGCTCCGTCCCAGGCTGGCTCCCCCCCACGGACCCGAACCAGTCCCTGAGCTGATGACTCGGTTTGAATGCCCGATCCGGTCCAGTCAGCGGCCCAGCAGCCATTGCTGTGACTGTAGCCGGTGGCTGCTAACCAATCAATGGAGAGAAGTTGAGCCCTTATGACACACCCCTCCTAAAATGAAATGCATACAGAAATGTTAATACGACAGGCAGAATTAAATAGCATGGAAGAATTAAATAGGGTAAAAAAATACAAAGGAAGAATAAACCAGACAAAAATATTATAACATGCACATAAATAAATACTTAAAGAAATAAGTAATAAATAAAGTTAAAGAATATAATGGTCAATAAATAAATAAGTTAATTATTACAAAGGGAAATAAACAAAGAAGCTAATTAAAAGAGAAATATATTCAAGTCTCACTGTATAATTAAATTTATTTGTTTATTGTATTTTGGGGGGGGGCAATTAATTGTATGCTTATTTATTTTTGGAGCATTTACTTATTTATGTATTTATTTTGAATTATGGCAGGATTGGTCCTCCATATAAACTTAGTTATCACACTATTATATTTACATGAATGCTAACAACAAAAAAATATAAAAACAACAAACTAAAAACATAATTTCATGTACATGTTTACTGTTTGTACATGAATTTTGCCCTTCTGAGGATTTGTGAAGATAAATCTGTGTTTTGCATGGTCACAAATCTAAAAAAAATATCTACCAGTTTAATAATGGAGAAGCTATTAGTAAGCTTTATATTTTTTAATATAAAAACAATTTATTTTCTGAGAATGTGTTTATTTAAGAGAAACTATGCTTATTAACATCTAGAAAAAATACATTATATAATATTTCCCATGTGAGTCCCAGATTGTTCATGCTTCTTCGCCTTTTCTTCAAAGTGCTTTAAATCGGTCCTGCCTGCCTTTATCCACGCTGCCTTAGCCTCGCTGCATGCAGTTAGCCAAGCCCTGTAGCTAAACCAGGTCCTGGAAAAACATTGTACCGTCTCCATCTATCTTTTGGACTGCTGATTAATTTTGATGTTTGGCTGATCAGGTCCAAGCGGTTTCACCTCCAGCTTCTCTTGGTAAGTTTGCTTCCCTCCCGGGACTCGGCCTGTCAATCACCTGCACAGCAGCTATGACGGCAGTTCCTGTCACCTCAGGGCGAAAACCATACCTCTGTATTGCAGAGGAGCTACTGCACATGTAGAACTTTTAACGAGAGCCGATGCGCAAACATTTTCGTGCCCTAGGAGGTGTCATGATGGGTACTCAAAGAATGACCCAATTATGCAGAACACCACTAGACGGACACAGGAATAAAAGTTCAACAAGTTTATTTGGTCACAAGCACACTGAATATACTGGTTCGGGCCTGGATACTGGTTCACCGGAGTCTGCGTGAGAGACAGTTCAGTTAGCGTAGCACGTTGGAGCTTGCTTTCTTGATTGTTACTTATTGTACCTTGAGGGTTCTTGTGGTTAGCTTTGGGAGGGTCACTGTTGGATCTGGAGAGGAGTTGATCAGCAGAGTCCGTTTGCTGCTTCAGCGTCTCACGTCTAGTTTTGAACTGACCTTGGCTTTGGGTTTTCCAGCTCTTAGTCCAGAGCTGCATGGAAGTTCACTGAGGTTCTTCAGGTTTGGCTCTGAGGGTCGGCTCGGCAGGTTAGCTCTTCCTGAGGTCCACAGAGGAGAAACTGGTTTCCTGGAAGACAGAGACAAGGGTTAGAATCCAGGCTGGATTCAAAGTCACAAAGATTCACTGAGAGTCTAGGCTTAGGCGCTGACCAACTGGATCAACACTGCAGCGTTGAGGCAAGGTCTGAAGACAGCTTATATAGTGGATCCTCTGATGATCTGATGGGCTGCAGCTGTGCAGGAGGCTCACTCAGAAGGATCCACGGCGGACTCTGCTGGAGAAAGGTGGAACTTCTCCAGCTCCCAACAGGAGGGAAATACGTCAAGTTTGTGGACTTCCTGATAGTAAAGAATTACTTTAGTCCAGCCTTAAAGTAATAAATGCATGGACTAGTTTGTCGACATCACCCCTGGACAGGATATTTCTAATTTTTGCTTCTTTTTTTTTTACCCATTCTATCTATCTATCTATCTATCTATCTATCTATCTATCTATCTATCTATCTATCTATCTATCTATCTATCTATCTATCTATCTATCTGTACAGCTGTAAAGCTGTTTTTCACTTTTGGCCTTAGGTGCTGCTGCCTGAGTTTTAAAATCATTTCAGATTTCTTGCATAAGAACCACCGACTGACCTTAGAGTTTCTAATCCAGATGAGACGTTATTAGCTTAATCCTTTGTGTTCATGTCAGGGAGCGATCCAATTAAACAAGTTTGATTCTCAGCATCCCAGCAGCTGTTTTTAATATGCAGATGTGATCTTGGTTACTGATGAGGTGATGTGTTGCATGTGATGCATCATGAGAAAAGCGAGCTGAGATCAGAGCCCATAAATTAGAGGAGAAACCCAGAGAAGCCTGCAGAGCAGCTCTGCCTCCTCGGCTACAGACACCAGGTCCCTGCAGCTGTCTGTGGACCATTAGAAACCAGAGTTAGAAGGTTTGATCATTGCTCAGTTCCTCTGTAGCATGTTGTACGGATCTCGGGCGAACGTTTCTGTTGAGCTGCAGTATCAGGACCTTCTGGAAAGGGTGATCACCTTCACCCTGTGCACCATCCCAGCCTGTGTGTTTCTCTTCATCAATGGAACCATGTTGTTCACGCTGAGGAGCAAATCTGTTTTTTGTGACACCTGTCGTTACATCCTTCTGTGTAACCTCCTGTTTGCAGATACCATCCAACTGTTGGTCAGTCAGGTTCTGTTTTTTCTTGCTGTTTGTAGAATCACACTAACTTATCCTGTCTGTGGAACCATCACTAGAGTTGCAACCATCGCCAATGTAATCTCCCCTCTCACTCTGCTGGTGATGTCTCTGGAGAGATTTATAGCTGTGTGTTATCCACTAAGGCATGCTACCATCATTACTATCAACAACACCAGAATGGCTATTATTTCACTTTGGGCTTTCAGTTCTTTACACAACCTGGTTTGTGTTGTTCTGCTGTTAGATTTCCCGTTTGAAAACCTGGAGACGTTGCAGATGAAGAATTTCTGTTCTGACCTCGCCATGCTGCTCGGCCCCAGGTCTAAAGATTACAATCAAGGTTTTACAATCTTTCTGTTCCTTTCCTCCGGTGTAGTGATCATTTCCTCCTATCTCGGGGTGATAAAAGCTGCCAGGTTGGCCTCCACGGATAAATCTTCAGCTCTGAAAGCTCGTAACACTTTGCTGCTACACCTGGTGCAATTGTGCCTCAGTCTGTCCTCGACCATCTTTAACCCACTGCTTCTGCCTATTCTAAAAGCTGTATCAAGGGAAGTGTTTGTCCGATTGCATAAGTTTCTTTATGTCTTGATTATTTTATTCCCAACCTGTTTAAGTTCTCTGATCTACGGCCTCAGAGATCAGACTATCAGACCGGTTCTCCTGCACAATCTAGGCTGTCGAATTCATGTCAAAGTTGTTCCATCAAAAAGCTGAGATGCTTCTTTTTATTTTCAGAACATTTTATAGATCTTAAAATTATGATTTATTTTAATAAATTCCTTTATTTTTCTCATTAATGTCCTCTCTTTACCAGAACTGGAATAAAATAAGACATTTACAGATTTTTGGGGTTTTTTTTAGTTACATGTTTATATAGCAGGTTGATGATAACATTAGCACAGTGTTGTTCAGCTCTTTTGCAGCTCATCATCTCCAAAAGTCAGATAAGTTTGAAACTCTGCCGTGTCAAGAATCAGAACCACAATAAGAACCAGTTGGTTTATCTAACTCTGCATATTTGTTACATTTATAACTCTATATATAGCTCTGCATATTTGTTGATTTTAACAAGGAAAATTAATATTAGACTCCATCATTTTCTTCAGTGTGATCTCCTTGTAATTTTACCTGGAATTTGATTTAGGGCCTGGTAATGCTCTGACGGTCCGGTGTTCATCTGAGGGACAGACTGGGGACGATCTGCCTCAGTGGAGCTGATCCTGCTGGGAAACTTCAGCAGAGAGGTTTGACCTGCTTAATTTGCAGATAATTAATCAGAAACAGAGAATCTGGAAGTTTTTCTCCAGTCTGGTTCCAGTTCAGGGAGCTGTTTTTCAGTCTCTGATGTCCAGGCCTGCATGCAGCACCTTAGATTAGAAAGAAAAGCTTCAGAAACCTGAAGCTGGTTTGTGCATAAAGTGTGTCACTATAAGTTCACCTTGTTAAACGTGTAAAGATGAGAAAATCCTAATGAAAAAAAATGCACCTGCTGTGCAGCAAAATGGCCCTGATTTCATTTCCAACCTCCTCTAACTCTTTGTAAGTTGCTTCCTTGCATGGTTGGGCTCCCCACAGATAATCTTGTTGCCTTCTGTAGTCCAAAAACATGGCTGATGGTTCAACTGTTCTTTGTAAATTGACCTTAGACATGAGTGTGTAACTGCTTTTTAGTCCTGTGTGTCTCTTTGATGGATGGTGAGGGAAAGGAGACCTGTCCAAATTTTCAAGGATCTAAAGACCTTAAAGGATTTTAATACATTAAGAGGATTTATATCCAAAATGATAAAAAAGAGCCTGACATTCAGAGCAGGTAGAAATAAAATGAATGGGGAAAACTGGGAAATCTGTGTGACTGTGAAGCAGATTGTTTGTTATTTACAGCTGGATCTTTGTTTCTGTGAAGAATATTCTCTATAACTGCTGTTTGTTCAGATTAGTTTAATGTGTAAATTATGTTAGGATTGCCTTTCTGCTCCAGTTTAAATGAGAGAAACGAAGCAACAGTTTTTTAATATGTATTCATTTATTAAATGGAAAGAAAATGTCTAAACCAATGTCTTTATGGGAGAAAAAAACAAACCAAAAAACAATTCCTTTCTCTCTCACACAGGTTCAGCTCTCACCCATGCTCACCATTGAACACTTGTTAAACATTTCCCCCGGTTGGATTAGATGAAAAAAATTAACAAAACCTAGATGCTGATGCATTGAGTAATTCAATTCAATAGAATTCTATTTTAAACTCAACTTTTAATAATAATCTTTGTTTATCAAAGATTATAAACTCCTTACTGATCTCCATTAAACCACAAACCCGCTGACTGTTTTACAGTTTTACAGATGAATTTCAGCAGTTTAGTTTTTATAAATAAAGTTTTATAGGTAAAATATTTTGTGGTGAACTCAAAGTAAATAAATAACTCACAGAGCAGATTAAAATTGATATAAATTCAGTTATAAATTAAATGTCTAAACATAGTCTGATTCTAATCAGACTATGTTTCCCCATACTGTGATTTTTCCTTCACATTAAAACCAAACAGTTAAAAGAATATATAGACATTATAAAATCTGCAATCACCCCACTAATAACTAAAACTCAATCATATTTACATATTATATAAATGAAGAGTAATTATTTCATGAATGCAACTTAGAATGTTTAGATATATTATTTATTTCTATTATTCTTTTATCATTCTATTTCAACCCTCAGACCTGGTAATTTAGGAGGGGATAATAATCCAGACATATTCGACTCTGTTTCTGCTCTCAGGTTTTAATCTGAGCTGCTCCATCAGTGTCGCCTGGCATGGAAGGAATCTGCCTGTGGTTCTGCTGGAGCGTTCAGGAAGCTTTAAAGGAATGGTACACCCAAAACATGAT